AGAGAAATTATTTATGACGATGTTGTAGTTCAAGCAATCTGCCAATCAATTACAGGTGGCCATAATCACCAAACTAAATTTGGACAAAAGCACCCCCCCCACCACACACACACATACATGCAGACACACACAGATGGATGTTTCCGTTTCAAGCATCAGCCAAACGCTGTGGTACAAGGGGTATCTATCCTCCTAACATCAAGTATTAATCAGAACGTTAAAGAGGGAGAGATGAGTGTTGGGAATCCCTGTCCGCCGCACCAAGACACGCCCATAAATCCCAAACCATAACCTCCACGATACAGAGAAGATTTAGCAAAGTGTTTAGGAGAATTTATTCATGGCTCCAAATTAATAAATTATTGTATTTATATTTGTTATAGTTGAATTAATTGGAACACTAGACATAAAGGTTAAAATGGCTGATAAAACATAGATCATTTTGGGAGGTTAAGAGGTGAAATCTTCATACCAAGATGGGATTCTTCTGATACAATCTTCCAATGAGCCAGGTGTTTTTTAAAATAGCAGCGGCTATTTAAATAATTGAAATATAGGTGAAGGTTTAATAATTTACTGTTACAAATCTGGGAAGGAGGGCAGTGATGAATGTTTAAAACACTGCAGGCGACTCTTTAATTGACCACTGGACCTTTGAATAGACAGACCTTGTTTTCTTTCCATACTGGACAATTTCTAGTGGTTTGATTCCTAAGAGCTTTAACTTATTTATTTAGCTCAATGCCACTACATCTTTATAGAAAGATTATCCAAAAGGTTTTGGTGCAGAATTCACCAATTTCATATTCCAGATGTTTGAGTAATGTCTTATTTAAAGACCTTTAGCATATTTTAGCCATGCGTTAGTAAAGGTTGTGCTTAATGGCTTTTGATTGGTGTACAATTATTTTAACAATGTTTAAATGTAATTAGCACCTGTCACAGTGACATTATTCCATCCTGTTCAAGTAAATTGAACATTCTGGAAGAGAGAGAAATTATTTATGACGATGTTGTAGTAGCAATAAATTGCTAATTTCATATGATGAAAATGAGACAGAAAGAAAGAGAAGTATGCACCATTTTGCAGGTATACTGCGCTGATACTGGACATTTCTGTGCAAATAAAATAAAGGAAAACTCAAAAGCAAAAACAAACACAATCAGATGGTTTAGTCTCATTTGCTGCTCAAATTTACTGTCCCATAAAATAACCTTTATTTACTCTGAATTACTTTAGGAACAACATAAAAAAACCTTTCCCCACTCGTCTCTCTATGTAATAATTTTTTATATCTCCTTCACTTCCTCCTTTTACTCAGATATGTGTACATCTGTTCCCTCTCTCCTGTTTCTCAGGCTCTCTTTCTGATACAGGATGCAGGAGTTGCAGGAGTTGCAGTCGCGGTTGCCAGGCAGTTTCTAAACATTTTGCATTATTGATGAGGTGCACTCATTGTGTCCCACCAAGCAGCACCCAAACCGTCTCCACCGAGGGATGCTGGGAAAGCATCCGCTGACATCACTGAAGAACAGAATACTGACAATGAGAATCAGATAATCAACTTATATCTTTTGAAATGTTTATTTTCTTTAATGTTTTAATGGAACGAGAGTAAAAGGAGTCAAAGGGTAACACAGTCATCATTTTAGCTGTTTAACATTTCACAAAGTTGATACTTCCCCAAAGGCTTTCATTTTTTTTTTGAAAAACCCTATCACTATAATCACACACTTTTTTTCAAACTTTGTTTATTAAGCAAAATGATCTCAGACAATATTTCTCATAAATTTACAGTTTTCTTTTTTTTTTTTTTGAAGAAGAACAAATTAACGCACACACATACAAGAAAAAACCAACTAACAAACAAAGACAAAAAAAAAAAAAAAACAATACACATCAAACAGGAATTGCTAAATACAAGACATAATTAAATAGACATAGCCACGGCCAAACAGAGCATATTAATCATGCTCAGCATGTCCCCCTCAAGTTGACATATTCAAGGAAAGGTCCCCAAAGGCTCATAAACATTCCACTTCTACCTATCATAGACAGTCTGATTTTCATTTCTAGTTTGAGAAAATTGTCCTTGATCCAATGGATGTGAGAGCGCGGTACAGAAGACAGGGTTCGTACACCTTTTCCAAAGTCTAAATCAAGCACTTTTCAAGCACTTTCAAGATCCATTTTAAAACGTTTTCTGGCACCTTACGGAACCAGTTTTGCGCGGATGACGGCCGGGGCGGATGACGGCCTCTCCTCGGATGATCAAAGAAAATTACTCCTCTGCCATGGCGTAGTTATATAACCAACCAGAGGGTGTCGCAATTCAGTATCATCAGCAGTAGAGTTATCAATGCTGTTTTAAGTTCTGGGCCTGATAATGAATTAAAACTTCCTTTTTTTTGTTTTTTTTTTGGAACGTTGGCGAGGCGTGAGTTTGGCTAGGCGGCCGCCTCGCCGAGATAGTGCTACGGGAAACACTGCAATACTAACATTACATTATCACACCGTACTCTCCGTCACTATGACTTACCCTTCATGTGACTCGACAGCGCAGACTCGCCAACATTTTATTTCTCCATTTAATAAACACACGAGTCAGTTAGATAGGCATTTGTTGCGAAAGAAATAGTTACAATTTCAAGCATTTTCAAGCATTTCATCCAAAATATAAGCACTTTCCAAACCTTGAAAACACAACGTCAAAATTCAAGCATTTTCAAGGAATTCCAGCACCCGTACGAACCCTGAGAAGAATTTCCAGTTCAAAACAATCATTCGTCTCGCCAGTAGGGTGGCAAAAGCAAGAACATCTTTCTTAGATTTTGCAAAGGAAGTCAAAGTATATGTCTCCCTAAGGAAAGGGGGGTCTCAAATATCGCAGCATTGGGTTCAATTTCAATTCTATTCAGTTTATTTCTATAGCTCCAATTCACATCATGTCATCTCAGGTCACTTTCCAGTTCACCAGATCATCCAGTCAGATTGATTCAAAGTTTTCTATCTAAGGAAAACCAGTTGATTTTTTCGACTCATTGACTCTTAAGCAATCCCTCACACTAAGCATGCTTGTAGCGACAGTGTAGAGGAAAAACTCCCTTTGAACAGGAAGAAACCTCCAGCAGAACCAGGCTCTGTGTGAGCGGCCATCTGCTGAGGCCCACTGGGGTTCAAGGAGACAGAAGCAGAGACAGTTCAATTTTTTCACCCAGTACTTTTCACAAAGTGGCAAAAATGTCTGACCTGTAACTATACAATGAGGGGCAGTTCCAAAACAGATGTACAAGGTCCGCTGTAGACTGCTGGCATCTTTCACAAGCTGCAGTTATTCCATCATACATTTTAGCCAATCTAGTTTTAGTATAATAGATTCGATGTGCCACTTTAGATTGGATGAGAGTGTCTAATATGTGTCTAACCACAGATGTATGTATTCGTCCTAATATCTCTGTCCAAAGTTCTTGTGAAAACGCCATCCCCAAGTTCTCCTCCCACAACCCTTTAATAAAGTGTAGGTGTTCAGGATTGAGAAGATTAATGTGATCATAAATATAAGATATACAACCTTTAAGAGTTCGTATTGGTCTAAAGAACACATCAAGGGCTGCGCCCTCTGGTAGAGTGGGAAACCCAGGAAAAGTAGACTGAACAAAACTACGGACCTGCAGATATCTAAAGAAGAGCTGCTGAAATGAAAATCTTTCTACAAGCTCCTGAAATCAAGCAAACACACCATCTATTTATAAGTCCTAAGTACTGATACACATTTTAGTAAAGACTTGCTTTAAAGCAAGTACAGATAAATTCCTTATTGTTACGATTGAAACCTAATAAAATACAAGGATTAGTTTAATTGAATATCAGACAGAGAGAAAAACATCCTACATGTCATTTTCAGGCACCATTTGTTGATATGTAATTTTAATTCTACAAAATCGGAACTTAGTCAAGAAGGCTAAAAGTTTCGTGCTAAATTTTGGTTCACCTTAAATAATGAAGTTCATCATGTTTACTGTGTTTTTTTTCTAAAATGCTACTATTAAAGGAAAAGTCCGGTCAGCGAGGAATGACCAATGGATCATTACTAATACCTAAAACTAAGATGTTTGTTTAATTTAATGAATTTAGTAAAAAAAAATAAAAATATATATTTTCTTCGCAATCACTGAGTCTGGGAGCGGCCATTTATGTCCAAATATAGTAGCCCCTCCCTCCTGCCATCTTCCAGCAGTGACGTCACGGTGCGGTAAGCCTAGCGCCATTCTCCCCGCTTTCCAAGCTAAATCAATGGGAACTACTAGACACATCTGCAATCAACAACAATTATTGAAGATTTCCAGAGGACTTCACCATTGAAATTCACCAGAGCTATAGTGAAACTGACAATCCCCACGTGCATGGCAGCTGGATGCTGGAATACATCGGGTAAAAGTAAAAAAAAGAGTTATTCCACCTTTCTGATTCCTGATCCTCCACGGACGGGTTGGTCGTTGGATCGCCAACTTGAAGAGGCAGGATTTGCCATCGAACTTCTGGCCAGAGAAAAAACCCGTAATATGTAGCCAACATTTCGAAGAAGAATGTTTTCAAGATGACTTGGATAATAGCGCGTTGTGACAAACACCAGATACAGCACTGGGACTTGATCAACAGCCGATACCGCACCGTGACGTCACTAACCAGTAGGTGGCAGTAGTGTTCTTTGACAAACATGGATGCCTCCAGTAAAGCACATTCACATGAAAATTACTCTGAATTAAAAACACTGATCATTTATTGAACAGGATGGAATCATTTCAGATTTAAAGAACTTTCAGAAGTTTGAATTCTGAATATGAGCGACTTTTCCTTTAATAATGTTTTTTTTATAGAAGTGAGCTTGATGCAAATTGCATGTTAGTCGAAGCAGTAATGCTGTAGCTCTGTAATTATTGTGTGCTTCCTGTTTCCAGCCAAACAGCCGGACAGTCAGGCAGAGAGCTGCATCACTCACCTGTTGTGCCTGGGGCGACGCCTCCCTCCTGATCTCCATGATGCAGCTGTCACTACAGCCGATCCAATGCCTGCTCTCTTTCTCCCTCCTTCTTTATGATCCATCAGCGTTTGCAGCACATGCAGAGTTGCCTCTGAATGAGGCCTATTGTATTGCACCTACAGCGTTGGCGCTGCAGTCTCTTCCTACATACCGACTGGTCTCCGGAAAAAAAGTTTCATCTCTTGATGCAAATGAAGTTTGTTCAGCTTTCGTGTTGCAGAAAACATTTTCTTTCTTCTTCAGACCCTCAAAGAAGCTCTTTATTTCTTTTTCCATATCCTGCACAGCCAATATCAGCAATGTCAGAGACCAGAACCCATTAAGGAACGTCTGAATAAAGCATATCCTAGGAATATATCAAACATTTGCACATTTACTGACCGTAATACATATATGAGATCAGGGACTCTCTTCATTTATATCTTGTTTCTAACCCCCTGCAAAGGTGTGTAGAGAGAAGAAGCCTGGGGGGCTCTTGGATTCTCCCAGTGCGTCTCCAGAATGAAAAACAAGTAGAGAAAATGAACGAAGAAGAGCTCAGAACTAAAGGAAGAATCCAAGCCAAAGTGGGCCTCTGCTTTCAGCAGCAAACAGCAGCTTGAATGAGGGGAAGAGAAATGTGGCTGCAAGTTTATATGTGTTCTCTCCCCATCAACCAGGGGACTGACTGAATAAATAATACAATATATATCCTTGTGATGAGGTCTCTGCGCACCATTCATAATTATTTCATTGTAGCTGTAATGAGAGCCTAGGTCCTCCCAAAGTGCCCTGCCATGAAAGGTAGGCCTCTGAAGAAACCAGGGCCCAAAGGTAAGAGGTAAAACAGAATACGGCTCATTCAGTGTCGGTTCGAGACCCAATTTACCAGAGGGGCAAGAAGGGGGGCAGGGTTTTCTCATGAGGGCAGAGAATGAAATAACAAAAATTAATCCTTGAGGCCAATCAGTTGAGATGTCTGTGCCAGTAAATACCATCATAAGACATTAGCTTTGTATTATGTCTTTAGTAGAGGATATTGGAAGTCTTTACAGAAACATGTGTAATAGGATGGTGTGGTAGAAATACCTGAAAACGATAAGATAATTAAGTCAATGTAAACTGGTTAAGTACCTTTTGTCTTAAGGGTTGGGGAGAAGTAATATGAAAATTGATCTTTAACATGAGAGAAACATTAAATATGGAATCAATTGACTAAACATTCCCTGTCTGCAGGTTACCTTAACAAATATTAGTAAAGCATCTGGAAGTGAGCCACCTCATCCTACGGCTCACATCTACCGACATCAATCCTCATTTAAACTGAAAAGAGACATTTTATCAGAGTCATTTTTGATAGATTATAATGAATCAAACAATCCACCTTTCATTCTGTCATAGTTTTGAATCAGGAAAAAAACGAACAATTGTTTTACCTATTCTTTCTTTTCAGTCTTTTTTTTAACAGAAGAGGAAAAACAGAAGAAAAAGAAAAAAAAAGAGAAAAGATGAAAGAAAGAGGAGATAGAAAGGAGACAATGACAAAACATTTTCAGTCTGCTTCATCACCTGCAACGGGAAGCAAAAAGAACAGCACAGCCGAAAGACATGGTACGAGACATACAATAAAGCAACACCTTGTTCACCCTATTCTTTGTTTTCAGTCTTTTTTTCAGATAAAAATAACTTAAATAAATAATACAGGAAACATGTAATTGAACCTAGAACAGAATACAGAATGCTTGTTGTGTAAGCAAGGTAATGCTACACTGACTGAACAACTCTCTACTCTCTTTAAGACATTTTCATGACTTTTGAAACTCCAAATGAGTTTGTCATCAAGGTCTGTGAAGGACTTCAAAACGCCGCTTTTGTTTTCACAAAAACCTCATGAAATTTTCTCCAAAAAAAATCGAAAAATCTCATGTGACCATAAATATATACTAAACAGTTAGACATTTGAGTTAGCTGAAGCGGGATCACTGGATTCTCTGCAGAAATGGAGACTCAGGTCAGTGACTTTAGAATTCAACGACAATTAGCATGATTGCCAGCAACCTGGCAAAGTTCAGTCTTTGCCCAGAAGAAGGAGTGACATCCAGAGTAGCTTCTTACTGAGCCAGAGATCCAGGAAAGAAGAGGAGCTACCTGCAGTAGCCAGAGCACGCAGACGAACTGAAGGTTCCAGAAGGGCAAATCCAAGCCGTCGTCAGGAGACTGGTCCAAGGTCGACAACAGGAAAAATCCAGGTAACAGTCTGGAAAAACATGACGGACAAAACATGGCTGAACAGCGCGGCCGAAACTCAGAAGTCCGGGGGCAGAAAACTGTCAGCAACAGGTAGAACTAAACACAACAGGCAGCGCTAGAAAGGGTCTCACTTGAAGCTTGAATGATCTGGCACTGATGGCTGGGAACCGGTGGCTTAAATAGAAGCAGGAACAGGTGGATCTGATGAGAGATGATGAACGCAGGGTGGAGCAAAGCAGATGAGAGAAAAAGGAGTAAAACCCAGCCTATGGTGCCAAGATCATGACAGGCATTGGTTGATTAGCATGTTTAGACTCCTTCCATAGTAACCCTCATATATCCTTTAGTATCTTGCTTCCCAACTGGACACCTACTAACATGAATTGATTGAATGCAAGTAGTGGCTGTACAAGTTTTGCTAAATTGACTGTTTTGCATTAAAATCTTAAGTAATTGAAAAGCTGGTGGTTCAGTTTTTAGTAAGACAATCCTTGACTCAATCCCCAGCCAAGAGTCTTTCAACTATGAGTTTTTATTTTCTCCCTGTTGATTAAGTTGATTTTTGACGATATGGGTATTTGAGTAATGTTTATCTATTTTCACACAGATCCAAAAACTTAGATTTTTCTTCCTGATCTGAAAAGGAAGAGCATTTGAAACTGTTTTCCTTCTTCTCTGCTATATGTCCTTAACTGTCTCCAGTGATCAGAGAACTTGTACAGAAACTAACCTGAGACCTCCATCTTAAAATTTAAAAGGCTTAGCTAGCATGTTACATGTTAAAGATTGTAAAAGGAAAATCATACAGATGCTTAACGAGTATTGCCTGTTGTAAAAGATTGAAGGAGAGATTCCCTATAATAGGGTATGGTAAAAGTGAAAGCAAAAGCAAAGCACAGTGGGAAAGGGGTGATGTCATGGGCTGGCTATACAGCCGGAGTACTTTGCGGTCACTGAGCCGATTATGAACTCTTTATGGCTAAGAAGTTAATCATAAGGCCCATATATTGACAGCTGAAACCTGTTCTGTCATGATCATGACTGATATCTGACCTAATTACTCTTTTCACTCACCTGTCTAACTCTTCCCGGTTACCAATTACCAGTCATCTCATCCACCTGCTCCATCTGTTTTATATACAGGTGCTGGTCATAAAATTAGAATATCATGAAAAAGTAGATTGATTTCAGTAATTCCATTTAAAAAGTGAAACTTGTATATTATATTCATACATTACATACAAACTCATATATTTCAGATGTTTATTTTGTTTAATTTTGATGATTACAAATGACAACAAATGAAAATCTCAAATTCATCATATCAGAAAATTAGAATATTGTGAAAAGGTTCAAAATTGATGGCCCCTGGTGCCACACTCTAATCAGCTAATTAACTCAAACCACCTGCAAAAGCCTTTAAATGGTCTTTCAGTCTAGTTCTATAGGCTACACAATCATGGGGAAGACTGCTGACTTGACAGTTGTCCAAAAGACGACCATCGACACCTTGCACAAGGAGGGCAAGACACAAAAGGTCATCGCTAAAGAGGCTGGCTGTTCACAGAGCTCAGTGTCCAAGCACATTAATAGAGAGGCGAAGGGAAGGAAAAGATGTGGTCGAAAAAAGTGTACAAGCAAGAGAGATAACCGCACCCTGGAGAGGATTGTGAAACAAAACCCATTCAAAAATGTGGGGGAGATTCACAGAGTGGACTGCAGCTGGAGTGAGTGCTTCAAGAACCACCACACACAGACGTATGAAAGACATGGGTTTCTGCTGTCGCATTCCTTGTGTCAAGCCACTCTTGAACCACAGACAGCGTCAGAAGCGTCTTGCCTGGGCTAAAGAGAAACAGGACTGGACTGCTGGTGAGTGGTCCAAAGTCATGTTCTCTGATGAAAGTAAATTTTGCATTTCCTTTGGAAATCAAGGTCCCAGAGTCTGGAGGAAAAGAAGAGAGGCACTTCATCCACGTTGCTTGAAGTCCAGTGTAAAGTTTCCACAGTCAGTGATGGTTTGGGGTGCCATGTCATCTGCTGGTGTTGGTCCATTGTGTTTTCTGAGGTCCAGGGTCAACGCAGCCACATACCAGGAAGTTTTAGAGCACTTCATGCTTCCTGCAGCTGACTAACTTTTTGGAGATGCAGATTTCATTTTCCAACAGGACTTGGCACCTGCACACAGTGCCAAAGCTACCAGTACCTGGTTGAAGGACCATGGTATCCCTGTTCTTAATTGGCCAGCAAACTCTCCTGACCTTAACCCCATAGAAAATCTATGGGGTATTGTGAAGAAGAAGATGCAATACACCAGACCCAACAATTCAGAAGAGCTAAAAGCCACTATTAGAGCAACCTGGGCTATCATAACACCTGAGCAGTGCCACAGACTGATCGACTCCATGCCACGCCGCATTGCTGCAGTAATACAGGCCAAAGGAGGCCCAACTAAATACTGAGTGCTGTACATGCTCATACTTTTCATGTTCATACTTTTCAGTTGGCCAACATTTCTATAAATCCTTTGTTTTTATTGGTCTTCAGTAATATTCTAATTTTCTGATATGATGAATTTGGGATTTTCATTTGTTGTCATTTGTAATCATCAAAATTAAACAAAATAAACATCTGAAATATATGAGTTTGTATGTAATGTATGAATATAATATACAAGTTTCACTTTTTAAATGGAATTACTGAAATCAATCTACTTTTTCATGATATTCTAATTTTATGACCAGCACCTGTATGGCTCTCTCCCAGGTATCGGGTCCAGATCATTGACGTCGTTTCTGAGTTTTGACTTGGAAATTATGTTGAGTTTGACCTTGATGTTCTCATTCTCTGAGGCTAGTGGGGAGAAAGAGTTTTTAGTATTGTCTTGTGTTCCTGATCATGTCCTCTTTCTTATCCACTGAGTGTGCCTTGTTCCTGTTTTGGCTCAGTAAAGGGAGCTAGTTTAAACATACGATAGTTTTCTCTGATATCATGTCTTGTTCTGCCTCTCAACTACTGAGCTTGGCTGTTTTAATCTGAATGTTCTGCCTGAACTCTCTGTCGACTCTTGGAATCCTGAACTTGCCTGAATTCCCTGTCGGACTCCTGGAACCCTGGACCTGCCTGTTCCTGTTCTGATCAGAACCCTTTCCAGGCTACAGACCCCTGCATCTCTGAGCCTACCTGTTGTGAACTGTTTCCCTGACCTGGCCTGGTTTCATGCTTGTTCACTGGGGCTGCAGCATCTGGTTCACTCTGGGCGGCTCCCACTGCATCTCTATGGCGGTCCATCGTTAAACCAGAGTTGCCAGTGATAGGCAGTGCCCCGTCTCCCCCC